GTTACTAACTGCGCCTGTTGTTTCAAACAAAATACCGTGCCTACCTCTAACACCGTGCCATATTTATTTTCCTCGTGTTTAAGATTTCGTGTATAATTTATCTTGAGACACCATATTCGATGATACTGTACCTCGACTTTCTTCTATTTGAAAATAACTCTTATCCGACTTAGGCTTGCTGGCAAATGTCGACCACTCGAACTCATGATCCTTCCATTACAGTTCGATAGGGGAAGTCGAGAGATTTCTCTCCATCTTCTGCAACCAGTTCTTCTGTATACGACTTCAGATGGGTTGTAGAGTACTTTGTTCGATCAGCAACTAAACCATTTTCTGCAGCATTTGCTTGTCCAGATTAACGGGCGATCAATATATTTTAAGGTTAGAAAAGAAAAGAAAAGACAAAAGAACAATGATCACGAGAGAGAGAGAGAGAGGGAGAGATCGGTGTGGATGATGGTGTTGATGTTCATGAGAGCCAAAGTTTCAGCTGTTGACATCTTCTCATGATTCGCGATAATTGCACGACTCTCTGAAGCAAGCACAGCTTGCCTGTCTAATACTGTCTCCCTGGGTACACTCCCATTTATGCATTGCATGCATGCATCCTAACCTGTGGTCGGGGAAAAGTGATATAAAAAAAATAAAAAAATAAACCTGAGAAATTAGATAGTTTGGTGATTTTAACAAACCCCGTTCTTCACGAGGCAGGAAAACTACAAACAAAAAAAAAAAATCCTACACCTATTGCATCGGTGACAATTCAATCCTAAATTTTTCAATTTTGTCAATTTAGTTTTAAACCTTTTGATAATTTGTCAATTGAGTCATTCCAGCTAATTTTGATTGGAGATCGCTAATGTGGACATCGATCGTCTTACGTGGCACGATTGGCTTCGACATGAACAATTTTTGTAATGTTATAATTTTTTTTATTGAAGCGGCCCTCGCCTAAAGTAGGGCCTTCGTGGTTTGCGATGGTCGCTGGTGACCCTCGCCGGCACAATGAAAAAAAAGGAAAGAAAAATATAAAAATTCAATAAAAAAATTATAAAACTTGTCCATGTCAGAGTCGGTCATCTTAATGGCTGGCGTCTACATTAGTTAATTCTGGTCAAAATTTGCTAAAATGACTCAATTGGCTAATTGTCAAAAGGTTTAGAACTAAATTAACTTAATTAGCCAACCCAAAGAAAAAGGAGAAGGGGGTTGTACTTCGTATCATCTTGCGTGCATGGATTTTTTGACGGTTGAGTCTAGAGTATTTAATGAGAACTGGTTCGAAGAGAATGAAACAAGAACATATATTTTTCTTTTGGCCAAAGAGAAAAAAGCAAATTTCGGAAGGATAAAAAAAATTTCATGCGTGTGCTCTTCTCTGGTATTAAAATTATAGTACAATAATTTTTTTCTCCAACTTTGCAACGATTTAGAAAATAACTAGTTAGTCTGACCAAAAAAAGAAAAAAAGAAAAGAAAATAACTAGTTAGAACAACGTAGAGGCCTTAGGGCCCAAACATTTGGGCTGGGCCGAGCACGATTTCTCCTCCTCTTATTTATTTAGTAGATACCAATTCTAAATTTTCTCCCGCAGAATTAATAAAAAAAACACATAGCCTGAGATAAATAGTGAACTTGTAACTTCATATATATGTATTTTCCTTCATTTCCGGCAAAAAGCTGATTTTTCCGCAAATTTTTTGTCTAATTATTTCCTTCTGACCTCAATATGAAGAAGTTATATATATCGAGGATCAAGAATTTTATGCCGGGACAAGACACGTGAACTGGGGATGAACGGTTCCAAGGTGGGTCTGTTCCAGAGCTGGAACCTGAAACCGAACCTGTTATAACCGGTTTCCAGTTTTGGAACCTGAAACCTACCCTGTTTGTCTTGAACCTTGTTTTGGAACCTACCCTGTTTTTTTCGGTCTGGTTCCAGGGTTTACCCGAGAACCTATTTTTTTTTCCTTTTTTAGGTTTCATTTTTTCCAGGTAGCAAATAGGAAAACTTATAACTCAAATCAAAGGTTATATATTTGATTGTGCAAACAATCTTAAGTATTTATACAAAAGCAGATTATCTTAGTCCCAATAATTTAATGGACGTGATAAAATAATATAGGTTCCAGTTGGATATATAGTTTCTTCGTTACAAAACAAAAATTTTAAGAAAAAGAAAATTGCTCCCTATAATGCTTACAAGCCCTTGAGTTAGACTATCGGCAAATAATAATCACCTCCCTCATCCTTACTGATGATAACGCTTAGAATTCTAGCCATATAAAATTGCAAGTGGACCTCTATATAAAACCGGTTCTAAAACCGGTCCGGTTCCCGAGTGGATTTTCACTTGGAACCGGAAACCGGACCAATTTCCGGACCTATTTTTCGGGTGGACCCATCCGGTTTCTAGGTAAATTCGGTCTGGTTGCACGCTGTTGATTAGAGTTTATGTGTTGTGGGGGGGGGGGGGGGTATTTGTGCACTAATTTGCATCATTAACCTTAGTTATTGGTGTTACGATACATAGAATAATCGTGGTGGTGGTGGTGGTGGGACGATGAGAAAAAATTTGGAGCACGCTTCCTCTCCACTGACAAGTAGAAAGTGGGCAAGGGCACCATCAAAGGCGTCAACGTGAAATACGTTTCTTTCTTTCTTGAGTGCTTAATTTCTTTGCAAGCATTCGAGATTCAATTGACCAAAGCAAGAACATGTGGCCCCTCCTTGAAGAGGGGCTGCTTTCCCGATCTTTTTATTTTAATTTGCCTCCGAAATTTTCAAGAATTCGAATGAATTCGGAAGCATAGCCATCGCGAAAAATGAAAACTATTAGTTTGGTCGGTCCCTCTTATTGGGCTCTCGAAAAAGTCTCATGAACCGAGCCCGACCCATCGTTCTTGGGTCGGACGGTTGAAACGGTCTTTCTCGGGCAATTTCAAATTGTCATCAAATGAGCGGATGCGTATGATGTGATTTATCTGACCCGGGGCATTTGTAATTATGCACACGATTTTTTTGTGACAGATGGTATGCATGATTATGAGTTTGCGTTCCTATTAGGTGGGAAGCTCATCATGCTTCATGGGCAGTAGACCTGTCAAAATGGGTCATGACCCCATTTCTTAACCCATATATTAATAAATGGGTCAGTTATATTCACTAAATGGGTTATAAATGGGTATAGGTATAATATGAGTGTTAAAATGGATCGTAAATGGGTTTACAACTTATTTAAACTCAACTCATCTATCTCACTCTCACTCAATCTCGCGCTCACTCATTCCGCACTCTCATAACGGTTTAGGTGTGAGTTTTCCTAGATTTAGTTAAATATGGAAATATTTTAATAATACGGGTCAAGTTGGGTATGGGTCAAGAAAATTGCATTGCGCATAAATGGGTCATAAACGGGTTAATGGGTCAATTTGGGTCGGACCATTTATGACCCGACCCAACCCACCCATTTGATAGGTCTAATGGGCAGCATTAAGGAGTGGACGAGCTGAATCATGTATTCAATTAGTTAATATATATACTCTCAGAAAATTGTTCAACAGAACGTCGATATGTCCGAGTGGTTAAGGAGACAGACTCGAAATCTGTTGGGCTTTGCCTGCGCAGGTTCGAATCCTGCTGTCGACGCTTTTTCTCGCCGCCCTATTTTGTTTTATTATGTCAGCGTTGCTCATATTGAGTATTTTGAAAGAATCATTGCATCAGAACGCATGCATCAATAGAAGATGTCCAATTAGATAACAAGATTGTGATATAAACCGTCTGGCCAAATGCATGGGCCGCTATCATCGGCTCGAAAAATACATGACACGGAGAAATTTGAGAGGACCCACGGAATTTTTCATGAGGTCGAGTCCGATGGTCCTTTATGAGTCATTGTGCTCTTAATTTTCAGTTCTTTCGCCAAATTCGACGTGTGTTAGAATTGTTTATGTTTAGGGATGCGACTTCTTTTCTACTTTCTTTTCTTCTTTTCTTTTTGGTCGACAAGCTCTAATAGCGTATATTTACTTTGCACAGAACCCAGATCTTACCGACATGAGCGAAAGCTCGAGATGTAAAACGAAACATAAATATCCAATGACACCTAGGCTTTGCAACATCCGGTTAAATTGATGGATATTTTCTCATTTTGACTCATAATTTAGAAAAGTACTTAAATTTAACTCTTCTTTGAAAATATTTTAGCATATCCACCATTTCTTCCTAAAAATGGAGGCAATTGCCAGCTCTTCTTTCCAAAAAACGTGGCTCTACCACCATTTCCTTGTTCGTCTTTTCAAATTCTCTCTGTAATGACACAATCCGTTGGACTAATTTAATAATAAGTGGTAACTATGCCATTCTACATATAAATCAATCGAATTTATGGATAAATTGATGGGGTTTTGTATATGTAGATTATGACAATGTCTTCGATCCCAGGTTAAATACATTAATCAACCATGACTCTTGGCTCGGGTTTTTTTCACTTTGCAAGAGACATGGTTCATATAATTTTAATGAACCTCATTCCTTGGATGACACTATTGGCATGTTGATGTTGCCCTAGGAGGCAGAAAACACTCCATATGTCAATGTACTTATTATAGACAACACTATAGTAGCACATTCCCCTACCTCACAAGAATAAGATACCACGTAAAACAATCCCGAGGCATGCCACCCCCGGATTAAGGGGGGTAAGGCTCCTGGGGCTAAAAAATCATTAGTTTATTGCACACCCACCATCTTTTGTGCCCCCACTTTGTAATAACGCAACAAAAAGCTAAGAATAAACAAATCAACACCCTCAATGAGTGAAGAAGGGAAAGGAAAGGAAGGACAAAAATATGGGTTAAATATTAAAGAAAACGCTAAAGCCCTTCTCTTTCTCTCAACCCTAAACACTGTGTATAAAAATTCTCTTGGAGGACATAGGCTCGAGGTGTTTCTTCAGCCTAATCTGAGGAAAGCAAATAGTATTCTCTCGAAAGGCTTGTTTGGATGCATGAACAGGGAAAGAAATACATGACACGGGGTGAAGAGAAAGTAAAGGGAAAGGAAGCAGCGGGGGAAGATTTTTTTCCTTCGTTTTTTTTTTTGGGGTTTTTAAACCTCTCCTCTCTTTAGAAGGTTGTGAGCAGAGGGAAGTGAGAGAGAAGGGAGAGAGATCATAAGTTCACTTCACTAACAAATGATGGCAGGAAACCCTAACTGGTGGAACATGCATCCACCATCTTATCATCATCACCACCATCATCAGCCTCCTACCAATTTGTTACCTCCTCCGTATGTCGTCGGATCTCAGAATTCTCTCGCTGATTGTCACGCCCAGGAACTTCCTCAGTCTTGGAGTCAACTCCTCCTGTACTCTCTCTCTCTCTCTCTCTCTGTGGGTTTGTGTGTGCGTGTTTTTGTCTGTCCGTGAGAGAGAGAGAGAGAGAGAGAGAGAGAGAGAGAGAGAGAGAGAGAGAACTGATTTTTCAGCTTTTTCCAGTCAAATCTGGAAGCTATTTTGCTAGTGATATCACTCTTCTTGACTCTCGCTCTGCGTTTCTTTTGTTCTTTTTTTTTTTCAAGGGGAGGATTGTGCAGTGAAGAAGATAACTACAAGTATGGTGGGAGTCACTTTCAGGCAAAAAAGTTGGAGAACTGGGAAGAGCTACAAATGGTGAACAACCCATCTTTAGGTGTACACGTCGTTCATCATCCTCATCCTCAGCTTGTAGATGTAAAACAAGAGGTGTCTCAAACCAGCAGTGACATGCTGTACAGCCATGGAGTCCATGAAGAGTTGTTCCTGGCACCAAGCAATGTCAATAATAAGCCTGCTTGGCCAAATAGCAGCAACGCCATCATGCCTGTGTCTTCTCCTACCTCATGTGTCACCACTTTGAACAATAACAACAGCATGTTGGACTTCTCTAGCACCAACACTGATAGCAACAAGAACAGCAATAATCAATTGCGTCCTGATCATTCATCTGAGGTTGCTGAAATCCTTTTCCATTTTTTCTTTTCCCTTTTCTTCTTCGTGTGTTTGTGTGGGTGGGTCTGTTTTGTAGAATGGTTATAATACTCTCCTTGGGGTCAAGATCTTTTAGGTGGAGTTGCTGTAGCACAGCTGGAGCTGGTTCGTGTGTTCTTGCAATAGATGCATGTTTGACCCTTGACCTGCAATTTTTTTCTTCCTTTAGTGTAATAGCGCAGCCACTGGAGGGGCATGTAAGAAGGCTAGAGTTCATCCCTCTTCGAGCCAATTACCTCTCAAGGTTAAACTCTGCACATCTCTCTCTTTCTCTCTCTCTCTCTCTCTCTCTCTCTCTCTCTCTCTCTCTCGCATATAACCTGGAGTGAGAAAATTTGAGATGATTTTGTGTATTCAATGAGGCATGCAGGTGAGGAAGGAGAAGCTAGGCGATAGAATAACAGCACTCCACCAGCTTGTTTCTCCTTTTGGAAAGGTAAACTTAATTTGAAAATTTTTCTTCTTGTTCATCCCCATCCCCAACACATATTGATGAACAGAAAGGAGATATTTGCGTAAGGTGATTTTTATATGAATAAAGTCCATAAAAAGCAGAATTCCCTTCTGCCAAAACCTTTCCCTTCTTTGCTCCTTTATTTGTTTTTTCACATTCTCCTATATATGCTCTCCTTTTAGCATTAAAGAAGGACCAGAAAGATAACTTAGGGTTTTGTGTTAATTGTGCAATGTGTTCTTTTTATTTTTGCAGACTGACACTGCTTCTGTCTTGTTAGAAGCCATTGGGTATATCAGATTCCTTCAGGGTCAAATTGAGGTGATGTTTATTTGCTCTCATATTTTTATATACGTGTGTGAGCTCTCTGCAAAACACCGACTCAGAATCAGTAAAGGGCATGCACTTAAAAGAGTATATAAGTTTTTACTTTGATAGCTTTTCTGCAAGAAACATTCTCTTTGAGTAATCACAGTTTGTATATAACATTTTTCATTTTTGTTATGCATGAATAATGCAGGCTCTTAGCTCTCCTTACCTGCGCAATAATGAATCTGGAAATACGAGGAATCACCAGTCTGTAAGTATCCGGCCACAACATACATGTACTTCATATTCAAACAGAAAAGACTAATATCATTGAAAAATGTTTTACAAATTTGATTTTGAAGTGATGTGAAAAACTCTGAATTAGTTTTTGAACAAGTAGAACATGAAAGCACTGATAAAAGATTACTGCACCACTTTGTAAATCAATCTCTGATTTCGGTGCGGGCATTTTTCAACACAAAATTTGGTGTATGCATCTTAGAGTCTCAATATATTTAGTTTACGAACTAACTAAAACATGATTTAATTAGCTGAAACCCATAGCCAACATTAGACCATTGCTATGTACTAAGTGTCTGCTATAAGACTTGTCTGAAGCAAAGGACAGCATCTCTCTCTCTCTCTCTCTCTCTCTCTCTCTCTCTCTCTCTCAAAAGACATATATAGTGGAAGTTAGCAGTTTGTTGTTGTTAAAACTATAGTTATATTGGTAAGTTCATGAGAGGAAACCTTTTGTCAGGTTCAAGGAGAAGGGAATTTTGCATTTCCTGGAGACACCAGCTTGCAGGTATATAATTGTGCTTTATTGGATCTGTCATCCTCTTAAACCAGCAAAAGCAAGTAGCTAGAGAGAGCAGACTTTGTTTATTCTAGACCAAGCATCTAAGTCTACTATTTTCGATGGGAAGAGAAAGCTTTAGCAAACAAGGTTCCCATAATTTATACGCCTTTACCCTCATAAAGTCATCAAAAGCATAATAGATATATAACCAAGACTTGACATTAGCTTGGAATCCTAAAAGGCTTTTTGCTAAGATATGATAAAAGTTCTCCTGTCTTTCTTTTCCATTCTTTTCACTACATAGCTCTTCGAGGACACCTGCCCAATCACAAAAGCAAACCCTAACAAAGGTCCACCACTTTAGCATTAATTTAACAAATATAAAGCCCTCTCCATTTGATTCCTTGGTATTTTGTAGGATAACTTATATCACCGCCATCATTGTTATCATCATTTAGATCATCATTATTGCTCTAATTTAACCATCCTAAGAAACAAGTGCGCATTGAGCAGGTACTTCATAATGATGATAAGACTAATTTTATTTCATAGCCATAGCGGTGGATGGGATGATTTAGATTTGCATATGTATGTTTTGGTTCTCAGGAAGACCAAGATAAACCAATGGATCTGAAGAGTAGAGGCCTGTGCTTGGTTCCGGTCTCTTGCACAATGCAAGTCGGAAACGAAAGCGGAGCCGACTATTGGGCTCCGGGACTCGGCGGCGGCTTTTGACGGGGACCGGTCGGGACAGAGGCGACGACATTGATGGAGCAAGCTCCCATGGAATGACATAATATCACGAGCAGTCACTCTGCTTAAACCTAAGGCTGACTGCTCATGATGCTATGCATTCTTAGAGTAGCATCGACTTGATTGTTAATTTGTTCGGCTACATGATTGATTGGAGAACTCTAGCTGTTGTATTACTATGAAGTTCATGGATGAGAAGTTGTAATCTAGGATGGTTTGTAGGTAGTAATATATTAATCCTTCGTTATGAAATGAAAAGAAAATCCAAATTATGTCACTCCAACATTTTAACACAAAAGCATGCGTGTATCCAATTTTCCATTCTTTTTCCGCTTTCTTTATGCCTGTTCATGATAATGATTTGCATAAAAATATGGGGTTTAGAATCTTGGGTTTGGGATGCAAATGCTAGAAAATAGTAAGTTCTCAAACAATGTATGAAATTACCAACTTTACTATCGTATCTCCTCTTCACAAATTAAAATTGATGGGTTTCTAGAGAGGTTGGTAATTCGGAAACGATCAAATAAACAATGATAATTGAGTCAAATAAGAGTTAATAATCTAAAACTACTTGATAATTCACTGTGAAAATGTTGTTGAGTAACTCTAATGAAATTGATAAGAGTTAGTAATGTCAATAAAAGTTGGTAATTCGGGAACAATCAAATAGTCGTCTGTAAGTAACTCATATACAATTGGTAATTTTATATATAAATTGACGACTCCATCAAAAGTTGGTAAGTAATTAAAAAAGTTAATAAATTTTGAAATAAGAGTTAGTAACCTGAAAGTGGATTTTAACTTATTGGAAAAAAAGTTGGTAAATTGCACGAAATAAATTTGGTAATTTCGCGTAAAAGTTGGTAATTTTTAAAAGTTTATAAGCAACACAACTGAGAGTTGATAATTTATTACAACAATTGGTAATTTTGAATCAATTAAATAAATATGGGTAAGTTAGAACAAAGGTTGGTTGATTAGCAAGTTAACAGTAGTGCTTAGAACATTTATGGCATGTTTAGTAACGTTTCTGTTTCTCTGTTTTTCTGATCTTTTGTTCCCCGTAACAGAAAAAAGAATAGAAATCCATTTAGTAACGTCAGTTAGTTTTTTTGTTCCAGGAACAGAAAAGTAGTCAGGGAATAGATTTGAAACAAAAATAAGAAGTAAAAAAAATCTACTTTTCTGTTTCTGAAACAAAAAGAAAAATAATAGAGAAAACAAGATCAACTCTCTCTCTTTCGTAAGATATTCTCATACTAAACCCTAAATCCCAAATCCTAAACCTTAAAACCCTAAACCTTAACCCTCAAACCCTAAATCCCAAAACCTTAAATCTCAATACCCAAACCCTAAAACCCATAACACTAAAATCAAAAACCCTAAACCCTAAACTCTAAAACCCAAACCCTGAACCTTATAAACCTCAAATCCTAAACCCTAAAATCCCAAACCCAAAACCAGAAACCCTAAACCCCAAAACTCCAAACCCGAAACCCTAAAATCGTAATTCCAAACCCTAAATCCTAAAATGCAAAACCACAAAACCCTGAACCCTAAACCATAAACTTCAAACCCTGTACCCTAAATCCCAAACCCCAATACCCAAAACCTGAATCCCTAAACCCAAACCCTAAAACCCCAAACCCGAAACACTAAATCCAAAGCTCCAAACCCGAAACTCTAAAACCTAAATCCCAAACCTAAACCCTAAAATCCAAAACCTAAAACTCAAAGCCGAAATCCTAAAACCCTAACCCCAATCCTAAAATCCAACACCCTAAATTGCAATTTCCTCAACCACCACTTGGTATTCGCTTTGTCTATAAGGAGTAATTTTCTTTATGATTGTATTAAAGTCATTCAATTCTATATCATAATATATTATTATTCTATTTCTAGTCTAATTTTATTCAAACATGAATTGTTAAGTCCCATAAGCTGCAATTTCCTCGACCACCAACCGGTATTTGCTTTATCTATAAAGAGTAATTTTCTTTATGATTGTATTAAGGTTATCCAATTTTATATCATAATATATACTTATTCTATTTCTAGTCCAATTTTATTCAAACATGAATCGTTAAGTCTCCACCGACAATTTTATAATTAAATGAAAAATTAGGAGTAGAAATTTTTAGTGTTCTACCAAACGCATTTCTGTTCTTTTTCTACTCCGGGAATAGAAATTTTGTGCAGTTACTAAACACATTTTTTTGCTCAGAAAATCGTCTAGGGAATAAAAATAGAAAAAAATATTTCTGAACAAAAATTATTTTTTAGAACAGAAATGTTACTATACAGACCCTTACCAACACAGAAAATTGTTCCACTTTTTTAGCATACCAAAAAATAGAATTTGCAAGCCAATGTGATCGTCCAACAATAACCTTCCACCTCATCCTTTGAACTAGGGGTCTAATCAAGCCGAGCTGAGTCGATATTAGTGCCAAGCTGTAGCTCAACTCAACAACTCGGGACTAGTAACTCGACTCGAGTATCAAAACTGAGGCTCGATCTCGACTCGATTGTAATAGAGTTACATATGAATTCGAGCTTGAGCTCAATAAGCTCGAACATTCACTCTACGTTTATTTATCTGAAGGTTAAATGCGTAATTTGACTTATGCGTCTTTTTATTTTTTCGCGATTAAAAATACTTCCGGAAAAAACAATAGGAGCTCAATTAGGTTTAAGAGAGCTTGTCGAGCCGACTATTGGTGAGCTTGAACTCGACTTGATAAGATACTCTCGACTAATTTGAGCTTGGCTCAAACTTAAGCTAGTCAATCCCGAATAATTATCGAGTCATATCCGAATTACTCACGAGTAGCTTGACTCATTTTTATCCTTACTTTGCACCAGAACATGCCTTTTGGACATGAGTTCTACGAGATCAGTGTCCTGAAGTGGGATGGAAACTGTTGGAACAAATTGAATGAACAGTGACATAAGATCTTGCAAAGAAAAAGAAAAAGAACGAAAGCAAATAATGATGGTGCATAGTCATGCCATTTCAAATGTTGCAGCAACAAACACATACTTTGTTCCTAGATGTGATGTTTTTGTGCAGGACAGACTTTGAAAGAGTGTCTTTCAAGACTTCAAACATTGCACAGCTCCTCCTTCACCATACATCCTGTCATCAACAGTGCATCTATGCATTCCCCTTCTCTCCTTCTCTTTTTCTTTATGTGACCTTTTCATGAGTACTTATTATAGCAATCCATTCCTCCTCGGTTGTCCAAGACTACCCCATCTTCTTAACTGGAAAGTTTGATAGAGAGAGGGAGAGAGAGAGATTCATGTGGGCTGACCCGAATATGCCAATGTAGGTCCGCTCAATTCGGGTCTTTCTTTCCAAGCCAGACTTTATCAGATTGTACTCGAGTGAATAATATAAATTGCTGTATAACATAAGATAAGAATTCAATAGAAAGTAATGGGAGGGCCACTCGCATCCATTTCAAACACGCTCCTGCAGCAACCAAAGTGTGTGCACGACTCAATTCTGTCGTAACTCCTACATCATATGTTGCATCACTCCCACTTTGCCCTGGAAAAATATTTTGTTGTCTCTCTGCTCTCATTTTCTTCTTCCTGGCCAACTTTCTGTGCTCTCGTTGAAAATCGCATCCTAATTATATATACATAAGCAGACCTACTACGTGATGATGGTCTTAGTGGGTCTTTCATGGCTTAAACCTTTTATCTTTTGTATTCTCCTTTCGATTTTCTTTTAAATTTGCGCAAATTTTGAAGTTTTATTGGGAATATGGAGGTGTGGCTATCGTTTGGTGAAGGTCACTCTTGATAGGGCATTAGATCCCTACCCAAGTCTCACCATCCTCATCTTTCACTTCCTAGTTTAGTCTGACAAAAGAAGGGCAAAATAAAGATATGCTTTGAGAAAAAGAGAATATGAGGGATCGATACTTATGTCCTGCTGATCATTACTCTTGAAGCTAAGTTATCATGGATGTGATCTATACATGTTTCTTGACAGTTTTTTCCTTCTAATTTTTCCCAAGAAAGAAATCGGTTACCAATTTCCCTTTTTGTTTTCTGGTTCAAATTTGGATTTGGCACCATAATATGTTTTTCCAGATTCATTTGGGCTTTTTGGTTCTCTGCAAATATGCAGGTCATGCGAGAGCAGATGCGCAGAGAGAGAGAGAGAGAGAGAGAGAGCAGAAGGTAACAAAAGCATGCAGCTACACATGCCATGCCTCCTCAGTGATCATTTCACCCTGAAAAAGTTATTACAACAACCTGAACACTTACCACTCATTGCACTCAAAATCTTTTTTTTTTTTTTTGTCTCTGCTTAAGTCCAAAAACGCAGGCATGTCTTGTTTCTTCTTGTTTCCATCCTGCGGAGTTTGTTCTCGCATGTCCCAACAAACACAAGAGTATAATTCTCACCATCACAAACAAAAAAAAAGGAGGAGAAGAAGTGAAATCCATAAGATATATACTGAGTAATGTTGAAATTGGAGGCAAGATGGAGATGCCGTAAATCAAGCGTTGGTGGTTGTGAAAAACTGTACTAGGAGTTTTGAGTCAAGACTCCGCGATCTCAAATTCAAGAAGTGTATTATCGTTGTTATGGATGCTTAAACTTGGCTCGATCAAACTTGTAACTAAGTTCGAGCTTACTCTCATCGGAATTCATTTTTGAAGTTGAGCTTCAAACTACAATGAGAAGTAGAAGTTGTGTTACCGAAGCGCAAATGCTTGATTAGGATCATCAACTGTGAGAGTCAAATATCACTAAAATCCCAAGCACATCGATTTCACACTCGAAATCATGAAGAATTTAGTGGGCTGTGGTGACAGATTGACCAACCCAGATTTGTAAAAGTCCACTTGGAAAATGGGCTGGAGTTGGAAATCTGTAGCCCTTTCCATTGAAGTTGATCCAGAGATTCAAGCCCAAGTTGTCAAATTGACTGAGCTACCATCTGAGTCTCACATTACTTCGTTTGAGGGAAAACAGTCTCTCACGAAATCCACAGTCACCATATAATAGTAATCGAACATGTCACGAGATCGATGATGTATCTGCTAGGAAAATCGCGTTACTAATGATTGAAATGATAAAAGCCTTCTAATCTTTGTGAACCTTGAGTCATTTTCAGGATGTCGCCAACTTTGAACTTCTTGCGATGACCTTCGAGTGGCTTAATCGATGGGGGAATTGGAGCTTTGATTGCTGGGTTTCGACACATCTGACATTGGAGTCACTCGTCACGAATGCTTCAATGCTCCATGAAGACTGAAGAGGACTGATCAGGCACATATCATTGTTCACCAAATTACCCCATAATCACATACGGTCATGTTAATTGCGTCCGGCAACTGGGCCTTGCTTGTAGTTGTGTAGATCGGACGGCCTAATGAATAATAATGCTGGAATTGGATGTTATCGATTGTAGTCAACACATGGAGTCTAAAACTGCTCGTTGGTACGATTGTAGTAATTGCTAAACAAATTGCAATAATTGCTAAGCAAAACAACACATCACAGATTGAAAAGGGGGGGGCGTCTTCATGCTGCTCGCCCAGTAAACGCCACCCCATTGGAAACTCCCAAGTTCAAGAACTGCACAAAATACATTTGCTTTCAGTGAATGAACATGCTTAAGCAGAGCACGATGTACTGCAGTCGGAGCCAGAGGAGGCGATGGCTCTGCCTCTGGCTCATCCTTCCCTTGCAATAATTGCTTGGAATTTTGGAGGATGCATCAAAGATCTTCCTCCGGTCAGAAAAGCTCCTCAGAAATGGATTGCTCACCACGCCAAAACAACACGGTCAGGACAAGTTAACACCGATCGTATCCAGCCACCTCCTACTGCTTGTCAATCAGCCTCAGCCCCCACACTATGCCCTGCCCTGCACTGCACTAAAATAAAGTCTGCTTCTAGTACACAAAAATTATTCTTGTTTTACGTGCATGTCATTTATTTATCTGCTCTTTTTCACACGCAAAGTCATCCCTCTCTCCCTGTCCCAAAGCCCACTGACACAGAGTAGAAAAGAAAGAAGAAAAAAAGCCTTTTTTCAGCACATCTTTTGCCATCTCTAGACCTCTCTGTGATCTTCTTTATATTCAGTGCCGCAGCAAGAGACCAACCCACTTCGGACTCGAAACAAGAAACCAACTTGCTCTCGCTTCCGTGTTGCATCTCGAGCAGAAGATGAGTCGCCAAGAAGAAGAAGCTCCAGAGAGAGCAAAGGGCGGCCTCATCACCATGCCCTTCATCATAGGTTAAGCGCTGCTGCATTGCTGTGATCTGCGTGGTTCTTGATTTCCTTTATTTTATTTTATTTTGTGGGTCCTTCTCGTGCTCGAAATGCTGAGTCTTGGGTTGATTTTTAATCGCAGCAAACGAAGCGTTTGAGAAGGTGGCGAGCTATGGGCTCTTGCCCAACATGATACTCTACTTGATGGGGGACTACCATTTCGGCGTGGCCAAAGGGACGAACTTGATCTTCTTCTGGTCAGCTGCTACAAATTTCATGCCGCTTCTTGGGGCTTTCCTTGCCGATTTTTATCTGGGTCGATTCCTCACCATTGCTTTGGGCTCCATCTCGAGCCTCTCGGTAATTAATTACAGTCAACTTTCCTTAATTTTTTGTTGTTTAACATGGTCGGGCATTGTGCATCTTCCAGTCCCACCTCGAGTTTTTGAAGATACCTTTGTTTCACTATCAGATCTGGAAATTATTTGGGGGGCGGGGTGGGGTGGCTTTAATTATTTGGCTACCCATACTATTTGTCAACTGTCACTCTCTTGCTTTTGCTTTTTTAGTTTCCCTCTTCCAGTTGTGGAGAGCTTCTACTTTCTCACTTTATGGTGCTTTCTCAATTATGCACCAATCAGTGTTCCTGTTATTGTCCTCTCCTTTCTGGTGGACTTAAAAAGTTGAAAGACTTCAATTAGGATAGACTAGAGTAAAAAGTTTAGTAGCAAGTAATGTGATGTGGTCAAAGATCAAGTTAAATCGTCAGCATCTAGGTAATGTCATGTGTAGATTCTAAGTTCTTCTTCAGGAATTTTTGATGATTTTGACAGAAACAATGTAGTTGGTTTTTCATAGCAAAATCAACTTCTCCTTCATTTATGCCAAAGAGAAACCATCAACTAAAGTACACTCACGCATTGTAGGGAATGACACTATTGTGGTTAACAGCAATGATACCACGGGCAAGGCCTCCTCCTTGCGACCCATCCACAAACACCTGCGAATCCTCGAGCACACCCCAAATGATCCTTCTGATCTCAGCCTTCGCCCTCATATCCATCGGAGCCGGAGGGATCCGACCCTGTTCATTAGCATTTGGTGCTGATCAAATAGACAGAAGAGAAAACCCGAACAATAAGAGGGTCCTAGAGAGTTACTTCAATTGGTACTATGCCTCAGCCTTTCTTTCCGTCCTTGTGGCCTTGACGGGCATAGTTTATACACAAGATCACTTGGGGTGGAAGGTCGGGTTCGGGATTCCCGCTATTCTCATGTTCTTCTCGGCGTTCTTGTTCATTCTCGCTTCGCCTTTTTACATTAAGCAGAAAGCGAACAAGAGCTTGTTCACTGGGTTTCCGCAAGCAATCGTTGTTGCCTACAAGAACAGGAAACTCAATTTCCCGAGCCAGGAATTAGATGGCTTTCATTGCTACCATCAGAAGAAGGGTTCGGAGTCTGTCCTGCCAACCAATAAACTAAGGTAACTTCTCACAAAAAGCCAGTGTCTCAAAGTTATGTGAAGTGGAGTGAACATGTTTAACCATATAATTGCAGGTTTTTGAACAAAGCATGCATCATTAAGGATCCACAAAATGATATAACTCCAGATGGATTGGCTTCCAATCCCTGGAGTTTGTGCACGGTCCAGCAAGTCGAAGAGCTGAAAGCACTGATTAAGGTCATGCCACTATGGTCTACTGGGATCATGCTGTCGATCAACGTAAGCCAAACCTCTTTCTCATTGCTCCAAGCGAGCTCCATGGACCGACACATTACTTCAAGCTTCCAAATCCCAGCAGGATCTTTTGGTACGTTCACGATCATCACGCTCTCAATATGGGTCATCCTTTATGATCGTGGTCTCCTTCCCTTAGCGTCAAAAGTCAAGGGAAAGCCAGTACGTCTTGGTGTGAAACTGCGGATGGGAATTGGGCTACTCTTATCCTGTATGGCCATGGTTGTCTCAGCAATAGTTGAGCACATTCGAAGGAAAAGAGCTTTACAAGAAGGGTTGCGAGAAAATCCACATGCGGTGGTTGGAATGTCTGCGATGTGGCTCGTGCCACAGTATTGTCTGAACGGGTTTGCCGAAGCTTTCACAGCAATAGGCCAAACCGAGTTCTACTATTCCGAATTCCCTAGATCCATGTCTAGTATTGCAGCTTCCTTGTTTGGGCTGGGGATGGCCGTGGCAAACTTGTTAGCAAGTGCTATAGTGAGCGCCGTGGACAGTCTCACATCCGGAGCGACAAGAAAAAGCTGGGTATCGAGTAATATAAACGAGGGTCGCTATGACAATTACTACTGGCTCCTCGCCATCATGAGTCTGGTGAATATATTCTATTTCCTGTTCTGTAGTTGGATTTATGGACCCTGCTCGGGTAGCGGCATGAATGTCCAGGAACAGGGGATCGGCTCCGGGAAGGAACTAGAAGTGTGTAAAGTAGAGAAGAAGCTTAAGGATGAGTTAGATGAAAGAGAGGAAGGAAAGAAGGATGCTGATCTCACGAAATAGGGGGACTGTGTCATGCAGTTTGGATCAAAATAATCATTTTGCAAGGATTGACAGTGTAGAAGTCACTATCCAAAGACTCTGAAAATATGGATCGTATAGAGCTTGCAGTATTTTTTGAAGACTCACATAGAGTGATGCGGCAGAAAGGAATGAACTGCTACAAATGCTACAATCAAGAAATCCAGGGTAGGGATCTCTGGTGTATAGGACTTATGTGTGATTTTTAAAGATTGTATTTTTGAGTGTATCTAAGATGAGTATTTGGTGCTTTGACTTGTGCTGGGTGTTGACAAGCAATGTAAGATCCCATTGTAAGTAATTTTTCTGTGGCTAAGGCCGGAGTTACTGGCCAGGCCATTTGCTGTTTTGGCATTGAAAATTATAAGATGAGGCTTTTAACATGGACAGATAGCTGCTTTGTGGGAAAATGAACTTGATCCTTCATTAGACTTAACAGACAAATTGAAGTCCTAGTCTCAGCTCTAACAGTGAATACTAAGGAACAGTTTCTATCTGCCCTCAAAGTTTACCAAGTTTTTTACTAGTAGCCTCGCGTATGCACAGGGCAATGGTCACGGAGTTTCACAGAAGTGGATAGAGGCAAAGAGGGTGCAGAATATGTTTGCATTTGCCGTTCTACAAAAAGTTCAAATGGAATTGAGTCGATTGAGTTGGTGGTGGCTGAAAGAACAAGGCAAAATTCATCCACAAAGTAATTACACACTGCATGAGAAATGAAAATCTTTTATTACCACCAAATTGAGGCGGTCCCCCTCATCTTATCTTACAAGTTTATAAATTAAAACGAAGGTATTCAAGCGACGCTAGTTTTGACACTTTCATGTACTTTTGTTCACTTGTTTTTCGGATAATCACTCATTTCCTTTTCACCTAAGAGGAAATGTCTTGATTATGTTATTAACATGAAGTCAATTGTACAGCCAAGCTCATCTTACTAATGTTCATATGTACATTATCAAGTATTGTTCATCGTAGGGAGTCTCATAAAATAATGGCAGACTAACGAGGAATTGATCCTGACAATCATAATGTGTAGGAAGAGGAGGAAACTCTAGTTTTCTAATTCTAGCAAGAAACAATCAGCTTTAACTGTTATTTTCGATCATCAACGCGTGCGGAATAACTATATATGAGATATGGTGTAAGGTAATGTTGCTTTGAAAATTTCAAATAAAGTGCGCCGCAAAAGCGTGGCTTGCTCGCTCGTTAGTAACTACGGGGAGACCAAGCGTGACATTTGCGCTCGTGCACGAAAAAATGGAAGTTGTCGAGACACTTTACGAGTTATATCATAGAATCATCCAAAGTTTCGAGTTGTAGAAATAGTACAGAATGTCTGGCATGGATGCACGCAAATCGTCCCGAGCAAGTGTCAAAGCTTGCTACTGAGTTGATCACCGGTCAAATTGACAGAAGCCAACCACTGCTTAGCCAAGGCAATCAACTTGCCATTGTCTTTCCTCCTGACTTCCACCACCACCATTGCAAGCTTCCCCTTTGGCCCTGCCCCTACTACCTTTGACTCTATCTCTACTTCTTCCTGCCACACAAAGGAAAGCTCCGATTGGTTTGTTCTTTTTTTTTTTTTTGGAAAATTGACATTTGGGAAATGATCATTCGTGCTAACTTCAACTATTTATCAAAATATGTTTGGTATGTAGATATTGCGATATTAGGGAAAAAGAATGATGCACGGTTCGAGGGTACGTTTGATTCCTAGAGCTATTTCTTGTTACGGTTTTCAATAATAATTTTCAAAAAGAAAATTTTATCTCTGTTTTTATTAAATTTTCGCTAATGAAAACTGATGAAAACATGAAAAGTTGTTTCAAGTAATTTCAATTTTCTTTTCAAATCCAGCTACAGAAAAATGGTGAAAACAGTGTTTGACAAAAACAGAGAGCCGAAAAATGAAACGGAGAGATTTTCCAATCACCAAAACAGCATTTTGGCGACTCAAAGGCGCCGACCGTCGCGAGTATCGACGGAGGGAGAGAGAGAGAGAGAGAGAGAGAGACTGTACTTGGATCTTCGCTGGGGAAAGGAAGGAGACGCTGAAGTCGAGGGTGGCCTTGACGTTGCCGGTGGCGCAGTACGCCGTCGCAGCCCCGACGTCGTCGATCAGCGTGACCATGGCTCCCACGTGCCAATTCCCATCCCTGTCCTGAAAACATCGCCAGGAACGCGCGCGGGATCGTATCCACACGTCAAAGTAGAGAAAGATCAACTTCGATGTCGCGAGGAGGAAAGAAAGGGGACGGATTGATCGGCCCCGAACAGCGAGAGCGAACTGAGCCGGATGGACGGATTACCGATAGGCGATCGGGGACGACGAAGGCGCAGAGGAAGGAGTCCTTCCGGGCGCGGACGACTCGAAGGCCTTGCAACGTCAGGAACTCAAAGTCGCGCTTCAGGACGCCATTGGAGAGGTCTTCCAGCCATCTCACGGTTCTCTCTACCTCATCGTCCTCGTCTTCCATCTCTCTGTGTGTGTGTCTTTCTCTCTAAGAAGACATCGCACCATGTAAATGCTCTCTCCTTATGCAATTAAATATGTCCGGAGAAAATGACATACCAGTATATTATTGTTAAGGTTACTATAACTTTAGTTACCTATGTATGCATTATTAAAACTCGAGTGATCCTTGGATTATATCGGTTCTAGACACATTGGTCGTTGTTGATTTGGTCGCCCGTAACTTTTAACCGTAGTCGGGATTGGGGGCGACACATGATGCGTATGGAGAAACGATACGCTGCGTTCCCCTTGATCGGCGTATAGGTCACCTTGTACATATCAAAGATTTGGACTTAATCGGTACATAAAATTTGCCGAGTAGTACATGGACCTCCTAGCCGTGTCTCCACACCCTCTATCTCTAGATTATAAGAGAAACGATACGTCGCAGGATAACGTCTTGAGAACGGTGGTGCGTCCGCATAGGCAATGAGGTACTATTTTGAACTTCTCAGCCACGACGCAAAAGTTTAGAGACTTCTAGCATTTCGATATGTAAAAATTTATAAGACCGCTTTTAGTTTTTCCGAAAAAAAAGATGTCGCTATTTTATGGTTCGAGTACTCTTAACACGATGTCATCCTGGATATTTATACTCCGCCTCGACCTAAGATTGAAGTTTGGAAATAATCGTAAATGAGGAGGTGAATTCTATGATTATTTATGATAATTTGAGTTATGAATTCTCAAAATGGTTTCCATATCTATCGCAATACCTTTTTCTTAAAAAGGGGTAGAAAGTTAGGGAAGATGAAACATGGGGTTGCTATAGTGAAGGTCGAGTCCAAAGTCGTCCACCATATACGGAAAATCAGTTAAGCAGACAACGGGTATTGAAAGCTCCTGTCTTTTTTAAAAAATCAAAAATCATTTTTCAAAATATGATTAAGTTACTGTACTTGGATTAGAAACTCATGCGCTAGGGCATAGGAACCTCAATGCTCGTTCCTAAGTCATTGGCAATGGGGACGGGTCCACGGCACCCAGGCCCGGGTCCTTCTAGGCCGCGCCTGAGACACCGGCTGCCACGCCCAGGTCCATCAAGGCCGGGCCCGTTCAACCGTGTCTGTGCCCAGGATGCCAGGCTCAGGTCCTCGATGCCCGTGCCCAAATCCATTGAGGTTGGGTCCCACACTTCGGCACCCACGCTTGGATCCGCGACTTCCGAGCCGGGGTTCATCGAGGCCGAGCCCAGGACTCCCGTGCACGGGAGTTTATTTTCCGCACTTCACATTACGTTGCATTATTGTTGTGCTTATGTGATTGGTAGATGTAATTGTGCAAATTATGCACGCATGGCCATGTAGATGAACATAATGAACCACATCGCATGAACAAATGTTTTCGAAACAAAAAGAAAATGTATCAAATATTGTTGGACATTGAAGAGACTTAAAAGGTAATTAAGTTTCCCGACCCCAATCTCTAGTTCACGGAAGTAAAACTCCCTCACACATCTTACTCGGCCTCCAATCCGGCTTCCAATAGCCGGCTTCCAATAGGGTATTGTTGGCTCCTTGAATAAAAACAAATTTTCATAATCGATCAAGTCGAAATCAAGTCGTGATCAGTAGGGTTTGGGAGAACCCGAGTCAAGCACGAGCACCGTCTTGTAAGAAGGATCATTCGCCCTCCTAAATCCTAAGGCCGTACGTGTAAGAGAACGCTAGATCAATCAATCCGTGACATAAACGTCAAACCTTGCTACTAAGTTGATGATCACCGGTCAAATTGAGAGAAGCCCACCGCGGGTTAGCCAAAGCAATTAACTTGCCGTTGCCTTTCGCTCTATCTTCCACCACCACCACCAGTACAAGCTTTCCCTTTGACCCTGGCCGCACCACCACCTTTGACTCTATCTCTACTTCGTCCTGCCAACATACGCATCATTTCAATTCTTAGATCCAGCTAGAGGAAGAAAATGATGAAAACAGCTTGTATACTCGTTTCTAGAGAGAGTGAGAGAGAATATGTGTACTTGGATCTTAGCCGTGGAAAGGTAGGACACGCAGAAATCTAGGGTCGCCTTGAGGTTGCCGGTGCCGGTGGTGGAGTACACCGTCGCAGCCCCGTCATAGTCGATCAGCGCCGCCATCGCTCCTACGTGCCAATTCCCATCCCTGTCCTGAATGCATCGCAACGCTATGTAGAGAAAGATCAATTTCGACGTCGTGAGGGAAGAAAGAAAGTGACAGGTTCGATTGGCGAACGGCGAGAGTGAATTTTGAATTGGATGGATAACCGATAGGTGGCCGGGGACGACGAAGGTGCAGAGGAAGGAGTCCTTCCGGGCGCGCACGACTCGAAGGCCTTGCAGAGTCAGGAATTCGAACTCGTGCTTCGAGACCCATTGGAGAGGTCTTCCAGCCATGCATTTCACGGTTCTCTCTACCTCATCGTCCTCGTCTTCCATCTCTCTCTCTCTCTCTTGCTCGCTAAGAAGACATCGCAATATGAAAGTATAATGCCCCAGCGTACGCTGTACCTGCATGCTAAAACTTGAGTGATACTTGGATTATCGGTTTTAGACACGTTCGTCACGGTTGGTTTCGTCGCCCATTGGCCATGACTTTTAACCGTTGGCAGGATTAGGGGCGACACATAATGCGTACGGAGAAATGATACGTAATTTTCCCCACGATATAGGTTATACCCGTATAGATAAAAGATTTGGACTTAACCGGCACAAAAAATGCGGGGTAGTGCATGGATCTCCTAGCCGTGTCTCCAGACCCTCTATCTCTAGATTATAAAAAAAAAAAAAAGGAAAAATGACACAAATGATCCATGAACTTTGGTCAAATGTGCAATGTGGTCCATGAATTTTTAATTTGTTTAATGTGTGGTCATTGAATTATTAGTAAATGTTCAATGTAGTCTAAAGGTTTTATGAAATTGTGTAAAAGTTCAGGAACCACATTGATCATTAGACTAAAGTTTAGGGATTACGTTAAACAATTAAAAGTTAAGGGATAATATTTCACGTTGGACCAAAGTTCGGGGATCACATTGAACAAATTAAAATGTCAATGTAATTCCCAAAGTTCAGGGATAACATTGAACAAATTAAAAGTTCAGAAACGACATTGCATATTAGATCAAATTTCGGGGATCATATTGAATAAATTAAAAGTTCATGAACTACGTTGGATCAAAGCTTGCGAGTGATTTATGCTATTATCCCTAAAAAAAAATAATACGTCACGTGACTATGTCTCGAGAACGTGGCGCATCTACATAGGCAACAAGGTATTGACCTTTCCAACCACGACGCAAAAGTTTGGAGACTTCTAGCATTTCGATATGTAAGAATTCGTAGGATCGCTGTCAGTTTTTTCTAGAAAAAAAATATCGCAGTACCTTTTTCTTTAAAAAAGGGGTACAAAATTAGGCAAAGATGAAATATGGGGGTTGCTGTCGTGAAGGTCGGGTCCACAGTCCTCCCGCCATGGACGGCAAATTTAATTAAGCAGACAATGGCTATCGAAAGCTCCGTCCTTTGATTAAACAACGCTCAAGGATGACTGTTTAATCTTATCTTAGACGATGGATGAAAGGAGGAAGAAGAAGAAGAAGAAGCTCTTCTTCAATCATCTGCAGAACATTTATCATAAAAAATGTTTACATTCTGGTCAACAGCTCAAGCGACTTTGCGATGTTATTGCAGGTTCGAAAAGACCGCGTGATTCTTGAGCCGAGGCAATGTACCTATCATGTGCAGAAAACAGAGTCCTCGGGGCTATTGGACTTGTGAAGTATGGATCAGTCGCGGTTTGCACCTTGTACTTCCGAGGTGAAGGAAACTTAACAAAGTTCATTTGAATCGGACCCAACAAAATGTAGGACAGAACCAACCTGGCTCAGCTTCTATCGGGATCGAATATCATTCAACGAGTCGTGGACTGATCTGGAGGAGGGGCTGTTGTTTGGGGATCACCGTTCTGTCTCGCCTTTTGCGCAACGATGCCCTTCCATCCTACAAATGAAAGCCTCGTGTCGTATCAAATGATTCCACATTTATCATTACTTTCGAAATGTAGATCATCTCCGTATCTAATTGCATTGCCATCGTTAAAGTTAAATTCTCTAGTCCAAACATGTCCGCTTTTCATTCCGGACAATAGTAAGTTATAATAAGCATCTTATGTTCGTATGCAGGCAACAGAATTCTGTAGCTTGACATTCCCTAATCAAAGTTTGCACTTTCAAAGGGTCCTCATAAGCTGATTTATGAGATATGATGTAAACCCTTTTCGTTCTTGGCCAGCGCATGGAATATAAACCCTTTACATGCAAGATATTTTAAGCGATGCTACTGATACTAACATTCTACTACATGTCCCCCTATCAAACCATGTACTGCATGATGCATACGGCAATGTTGACAAAGGCATAGTCGACGCATCTAACCTAGAGCAGGATCAAGCCCTTCATTCTTGAGCTCTCTGTACTCCTGGCAAGGGCACAACAGGGGCAGAACATGTGAGTGATGGTATCACCGTAGGGTTCTTTCAATAACTGAAAATCTCTCCTAAACTTTCTTCTGTAGCTCGAGCTTATCATCCACCGAGAGCAGAGGAGAGGCATCATCACAAGGTAAAGAGAACAGAACACCACACATCTTGCAATTCACCGGTAAAAGGACTAAAAAAGGCCTCAACCGTTGTAGTTAGTAAAGGGTGAAGGTACTAAAACTCATGACGAATTGCAAGATAGGACAAAAATAATGCATAATTAAGGCTCCGTTTGTTTCATGAAAAACAATTTTAGGAAAACGTTTTCTAGATTTTCTGGCGTTCGGTTCACGGAAAATAAGCTAGTCATGGAAAATATTTTCGATCACTTTCTTTCAACAAATACATTTTTCTTTTTTTTTAAAAAAAATCGAAATTTTAAGTTTTTTGTCATTTTCTTTCTTTTTCTTTTTGCTTCTTCCTCGGCTGGTTGCCAGCCACAGGCGAGCTTGAGCCTTGCCCTATCCTCACCGACGTCTGGCGAGCTATCGCCATAGCCTTGCCAACCTCTGGCATCATTAAACGGGTCTTTCTGAAGGCCAAGTTTGAGGGGTTCCTGTGAATATCTAATTCGAATTGCACTGCGGCAGGTCTACCCATTTATAGGAGTCGCGACATATGAATCAAGCAAATATTCAGAAGTTCTCTGTTACATCAACTGTTTCTAAGTTATGTATGTATTTCTTGTTTCACTTGATATAAGCATGCTGATTCCATTCTGGTTTTTACCGTAATCGGCCTAGGTGACTTCGATTGCTTCAGCCATCCCTCTTGGGACATAAAGGTAAGAGTCAATCCAAGAGGAAGTACAGGAGTTCACATGCTTTTCGTTCTAAGTACAAACCGAAATTTGGCCATAAACATCGATTAGTCCTCTATTTTGCACAAGGCTACCATGACCACAGGTTTCAACAAAATAAGTTCATTCATTCAAGAAGATATTTCTAGGACAAATGGCTCCACGACGTAAAATTCAACATATTGCAGATCCGACTGGTTTTATTTTTTCACCGCGTCATGGATTGGCTCGGAGGAGGATTCTCCATTTGCTGCTTGTGTATCTGTTTCCAACCTGCAAGCAATATTCATGAAGCTCTTAAAATGCTTCCAATGTGCAAAGTTGAAACAAATACCATGGATACCGAAATCTATCAATCAAGCAAAGGGTTAAAGCTGCTTTTGAGTTCAAATGACAGAGGAGCTTGATACCTAGGGAGGGATCGAGGCCTCTGTTCTTGAGCTCACGGAACTCTTGGGCAAGGGCACAACAGGGACAGAACATGTGAGAAACCATGTCCGGAAAAGGAGCTTCCACTAGATTGTACTTCCTCCTCAGCTTTGCTCTGTACTTTGATCCCATTAGCCAGTGAGAACACAGGGCCGGCATCATTGCCAAGTAGATATAACCGCCCAATGCACAATCTGAAATTTCCAATTCGACCATGTATTTAGTCGTTAGGGAAAACCACTCATCGAATCGAGTAGCCAAGAGTTTAGGATAAAGTCCAATTTATCTGAATCTTATGGGATGTCATGTGTTGACAAAAGTTTTGAGTTGAGGACTTACTCATTTCTCCTTCATCCAAGACTTCGGCAATCTGACCAAATGTGACACATGGTAGATATGCTGTAATAATGGCTGCAAAGTTCATTGGAGAAACGATTAGTGTCTTGTCCTCATGATTAGTTGAAGAACGCTATCATTTTTTATACTACTTCACACTTAATGTTCGGTAAGCGAAAGATTTGCTTTATCATTCCAGGGAGAAGTGTTAGCCAACTTTACCATTTGTTGGATTTTGGAAACAGTCAAACAACCCAGTCGCCCACGGTTCTCCGACATCCAGTCTGTCTAGCACCTGACCGGTTGAATATTCAACCGAGGTACCATTCGGAGTATTAGGCTGATCTTGGGGTGGTTGCATGAAAGTTGTCGGGGGGAATGAATGCGGCAGCGGCTGCATCATCACCTCAGGCGGTTGCTGCATCGTCCCAGGCAGTTGCTGCACCATGCCAGATGGTTGCTGCATCGTGTTGGGCTGTTGCTGCACCATCCCATATGGTTGGTGCATCATCCCAGGCAGTTGGTGCACCGCGCCAGATGGTTGCTGCACCATGCTGGGCGGTTGCTGCACCATTCCAGATGGTTGGAGCACCGTCCCATCTGCCTCGATGGTTTCGAGCTTAGCCATTTGATGGAGTGGAAGCCGGAAAACTTGGTGAGGCCGATTTCCCTTTCCTGTGATTTACTATAACCTACTCTTCGTTAAAGCTTTTTATATTGTGTGCCCAGTTTGTCCTCGTCAAGACATCGTAGCGGATAAATCAAGCTCGGAGCCAGAGGGTCACAGGTTAACAAAAACAAGAGCAACGCCCTTTGATCGTTTTTTATTGGCTTATTTTCCATTGTTTTTCACCTGCATCATTACCTGGTTGTTTACAATGACAAGAAGAAGCTGTCAGATTCTTTCCTGTTTGCCGTCCATGAGCACTGATTGTTTGTCTGAGGGCCCTGCTAGCCGTTTACAAATGGTACATACAGTTCCTCTGGAAAGGCAAAACACTTCAACTATGGAGGATCATTTATTGCATCCACAAAACTATACTGAGGCTTGAACTAACGAATTTCGCGCATCATCCACTTCTCTCACGCAATTCGCAAAAGCCCTCTAACCAATAATTCGAGAACATACATTCATTTTTAGTAGAACTTTCATCTTTGGACGAGAGAGAATCTAAAATTGACTTCCCGTGAGAATGTAAAAATACTACCATTGAAAAGATAACAGTTAATAGCGAGATGATACAAATCATTGGCCAAGCCACCTCTTCCACCATGAGGATGGAACTCCTCGCGGGGAGGGAGGTGGTGTGAGAAGATCGAGCATGGTTTCCTTCTCCTTCGGTGATAGTGGGACTCCTCTAATGAGGTTTAGAGCCATGATGTGAACGTTTGTCCTTTGCTTGTGCTTACTGTACGCCCATACGCCAGCAGCACCACCTGCCACTAGTAGCTGCAGCAGATGATCCAAGTCACAGTATGGACAAATTCAGGCAAAAGGTATAATCATTCAGAATATTATCTTTAGATTCTTTCTATACTAACCGGTGACAGCCACAAGGCTGCAGTCTGCATATCAAACTTCGGGGCGTAAAGAACCGTCTCTCCATAATCCTCCTCAAGCTTCTTATAAATCTCTTTGTCAGTTTTGCCAGATTGGATCTCATCGCGAATCAACTACACAGCAAAAATTGAAGGAGTCATATTTTAGCAAAGGTCTAAGAGAGATTTGTCGAAGAGAAGGCTTTTACCAATCAGGAAGGGAAACCTAGACAGCAAACAGAAGTTCAAAACACACAGTTCTTTTAATGCATCCCGATTCGTCATAAAGGCTAACAAGAAAAGAGTTCCATATGTTACGTGGCTTCTTCATCATGTTTATATAACAAGCATCTTCAGGAATAAGTCCTGCACACAGGAACAAAGTAAGAACAGTTATAAGCTCTTAAATTCATCTCCCTTTTTTTTGCCTTACTTCTTCCATTTGTCATGTCTAAAATCATTTCATATCCCTGAAAGATTATCCGAGCAATTGACGAAGGAATACCTAGCCTTGCGTATGCACAAAAATAAGAAAAAAACAAGCAACTAGAATAGGAATTCAAAACCACAACATTAATCTCAGAATACATATGACGACACCTATAATTCAAAATCAAATTGCCTCCTCACAGAACAGCGATCCAGATTCAGAGAAAAAAACTCACCTTTCTCAACAAAATAGCAATATCAGCTTGAGAATCTTCGATCGACTGGCTCCCGCACTCGGTGCAGCGCACGTTGTGACTAATGTTCCTCGCCCGAGCTTCGACCACGCGTCTCTGCTTCACTTCCTCATCGTCACCCTCCATCTCCAATTCACTTCCTCAAGATACCCCCACAGCTGAACAACAAAAACGTCAGCAACATACCCCAGAGAGGGGAAAAAAGATTGGATTTGCCGTGTCAATCACGGTTCAGGCAATTCAACAAACAGCTGCTTCGCAAGAAGAAAAACAACACACAAAAAAACACCCACATAGCCGCGAAGTTTCTCTCATTCAACGAGACCCATTAATGAAACCTAGCCCCAATCGCCAATCGCCAATCTGGAGCGCAACACGCATCCTGTATTGTCGTGTAGGTGATGATGCCGGCAAAGACAAGAGTACGACAACGAGCGCACACTGAACAAGCTATCACCTTCACTGATCAAACATGCGGCTTCGAACAAGCTATGAACCATGAAGAAGAACAAGTGCTCACGAGTGATTGATGGATCGCAGGATGATGTCGCTCTCGCCTGGACGATGTGTGGAGATGATGGAGATTATGCCTGAAGAGTTTGTGCTGCGAGGGTGATCGTTTGTTTTATGAACTCTCTTTCCCCCCCGAAAACTTGGAAAAATATTTTATTTTTTTTTTTTTGGATTTTTTTTCTTTTATTATTCACAACTTTTCTGCAAAAAAAGTAGAATGATTTGTTTGTCTGGAAAATATTATAAAGAGTACCGGTTTCTTTGTTTCCAAATTATAGTGTAAGGAAACTTGACTTCATTGATGAACTTTTATGTCAAATGGGTTCTAAAACTTTTAGGGCCTGTTTGGTTCAACTTTGAAAATGCTACTTGGGGGAATGCAAATACCTTTGGGTGACAGCCCATTGGGGAAATGCAAATGATGTTTGGTAAAAATATTTTATAAAGCTACTTTGGTCAAAATATAGTGTTTGGTGAATTTTTTTTGCAAATGCACTTTGAGAATTATCTTATTTATTAAAAAAAAAAACAAAACCTACCCCATCGCCGGAGCCGGCCGCCGGCGCGGGCGTCGCCCGAGGTCGGGCGACCCCGGCGAGCCAGATCCGCCGCCGCCGCCGGTCGCCCGAGGCCAGGCGACCCTCGGCGGGGGTCGCACGATCCAGGCGACGGCCGCCTAGGTCGCGCGACCTTAGGCTGGTCCGGACCAGCCTTGGGCTTTCAGCATTTGGAATGCCAGCATTTGGCCAATGTTAGGCCAAATGCTGAATCAAACACTCTAGCATTTTGGGAAGGGGCTTTCGAGGCCCAAAGCCCCTTCCCAAAGCTGAACCAAACACCCCCTTAGCGCAGAAAAACTGACATAATATAAATTGCTTGTTACAAACAGGGGAAGAACACAGTTTCTAGTTGCTTTTTTTTTTATTTGTTTGCTTTCATTGAAAATGGGTATTGAAGATGATTTCTGAAAAAGAAAAGTATGTTTGGAAAATGGAAGAAAATGACTCGTTTAATTGGATTTTGTAGAGAGTTTGGTTTCAAAACTTAGGTTGGTCTAGTGAGAGACCATGAGAGGTAAAACTTCCAAGAAAAAAACATTTGCTTTCGTTAGAAAGTCTAACCAAACAATTTATACTAGCTTATGTAGGAAAATAATAAGGTATAACGAGCAAGAAAAATACAATAATCAAGCGATGCGGGACTATACTTTTGCAGCCTCCAAATCAAATAAGAGATATGTAGCTTCCTTTTATTCCTGACACTGGAAAATTATGATTGTGAAGTTAATAGTGTCGAGCTTTAAGAGATTGCCTTGTGTCTGTTAACTTGATTTTGACTTGGACAAACATATTTCTAGATAGCAAGCTCTTAAACTTAGGGATTGGCCAATAATGTATACCCCTCGAGTGATTATCAAGAAAGGAAAAAAAATCAACGCTTTGAGTCTCAATTACAAGGATTTTCTTTTTAATTAAAAGTAGGTAAAAAAAATTGTCAATTAGAATCAATTTCTAGTTAAATCTCTACTACATTGGGGTCAGGTTTGAGTTAGTGTTGTAAGCCTTGTCAAAATTATCGGCCTTACTTATGAGGTGATTGATTTCAGGATGGATCGGTTCTCATCGGAAATCGAACCAGAAGGGTTGGTTCCCATTTTGTGGAACTGAAAACCGATCCACCTGGTCTTGAAACCGAACCGATCAGCCCGATCCAATTCCCAGGTGAGTCCAAGAACCGACGGTGATATCTTTCTTTTTTCTTCCCTATTCCCTGCAAGACTATAAGTGTTGTTACATAATTTAAACTCTCAATCTTTAGTATTTTGAATTTTTAATTAATGAAAATCTCAGTGGAAAGATACTAAAAATACGATAAAATATAATTAAGTATCATAGTAAAATAAAGTATCGGTTCGGGGCGATCCGAGTGTTCGATTTACACCCGAAGCCGGGAACCAGACCAATAATCACCGGTCCCAAATTTTAGGAACCTCCACCCAGTACCGGCCCGATTCAGTTAAAGTTCCGTTGCTCACCCCTACTTCAATTGTAGAACCCAGCAAATCACTTTTCAAATTCCCGAGTATACTTAGAGGATGACAGACTGAAAATAACCCGAGGTTGGAGTACACATGCCCCCATCATCTATGGACTTCAGCATTTTTATCTCTAGAGTGAGCTTTTCTTCAATTAGGTCGGCTGTGTTTAATGTGGCACCTAAGATTAGAACTGCAATGCTGAGACAGCCAAACAGCTTCGCCAATTGCCGAAGCAATGAATAAATATGGCAATTTCTCTTCGGGAGGAACGATTGATTTGAGGACAAGGAGGAGTTCGTGCAGGTGAACATATCACCATAGACCAAGTAAATACCAACTACATTCGCACTTTAGTAACGGATACAAAACTGTTGCCCATGCTCCTTGGATGCTATATACTCATTGAGATCAGCGGGAGACCGTGACTTCCTGAAGTTCCACATTTACTTTGATGCAGAACCGATGCAAGAGTAGTCGTTGGATGAGGCAGCCTGTCTCGACCTGACTCATGTCTGGGATTGAAACCGCAGCTCGAGAATTAAGCAACATAATTGCCATGGTAGTTTTCGAATGAAGGTAATGCGCCATAGTATACTCAGCTGGTGGTAAGATACTTCTTAACGTCTCGCATAAGAACAAACAGCTGAAGTACCTTTATTCTTGTGGAAGAAGAGCAATCTCGATTTCCTGGAGTGATTTTCCTTTTGTTTCCACCACATTCCTCTTTACAAAAGCCGCCGCTATCAAGCAAAAGGTGGCGAAAATTGTGTATAGGACCCGTGGCCCTAATTGCTCCAGCAATTGCAAGAAAAACAAGCCAACAAAGAAGTTAATCACCTGATGAAAAAGGAAACATATATTAGCAGTGGCTACCACAACATGAAATTTGATGGAAGCGGGTAAAAACACAATAGGTAGATCTATTTGGCATAGCATGAACAATAACATATATCAAGTGAAATGGATAAACTAGGTGCAGAAATGTAGCTCAATTGGATGACCATTCTGTCTATAACAAATCAGAACTTCTCATGTAATCCAAAGATTTTTGGCTAAATCAAACAAGGTAATTCGAAAGTCTGTTCTTGTTACCAAGACCGATGCAATCATCTTTATTTGCCGTCAGCAAATCGCAACAGGTTTAATATCCTTCAACCGTGAATTAACCGAAGAGTTTGACAATATTTATTATATCTGAAATTCAAGAGCTCGAAACAAATTTGCATCAGGTTATGCAATATGATGATCCAATTGGAACAAATACTGTTTGAAATAATTAAAGAAAACATCTAAATCAATGAAAGTATTGGACCAAAAAAAAAAAAAGATGGCGGTAATTAAATTGATGGATTCATTAACTGAATTAGACAGACATCAATTCAGCTATTGTCAAACTTGGGATCATGCCATCAATGAGGGTATGACCCACTGTAGTAACACCTTGGGGGCTAAGCCACATCTTTATACCACACTTTTTAAATAATTCTGCAGGCCCTCTAAGATACCAGTTGTTGGAGAGCATAGAAAGTTTATTACAGCATGTCCTCAGAAGAGGAACCAATGGCTCTTGTTGCTAGAATCAGGAGTTAAAGATAAATGATCAAGGAGGAAGAACCCGGAACTTATGGAGACAGCACCAAGTTGCCAGATTCCCGGCCAAAGAGGCCATTTTTACAAGTTTCGAGCATAAAGTTTAGATAATATTGCGGGACCAATACCAAACCACCTAAAATTTTAAAGATGACATGTAATATTTAAATACTAAATCACTCCTCGTCATGTGTGGGCTGGGAATTTGACATACAGATGAAAAGAGCAAGTTGAGAATAATTGAGGAAATGAATAAGATCGTGGAAATTCAAGTACAAGACCTCTAGCTCTAACATTATAGAGAATTTTAGGAAATCCATCTAAAAGATTGTAGATGTGAAGCACGGTTTGATTTTGAGAGATGCGCTAATAACTTGACAATTTCAAAGAATCAACTCATGAAGTTGAGACAAGCATCCAAACAGTAAACTAAACATAAACCCAAGTCTCACAGGCATGGAGTCAGATGTTAGCTCCTATATCAAAATTAATGGTGGCAAAAGTGAAGCGTTAATCACTGAAGAAATAGCATGAGATGGAAGAAAATATTACCCAGTGCACAGCCATACAAAATGCCATTGCCTTTGCCCTGATTCTACTAGGAAATATTTCTGACAACAGAAGGCCAGGGACAGGACCAGCACCAAGAGAGAATGCCAAGACAATCCTGCCCATCCAAATCAATGTTTAGCCAATTTGAAATCATATCCACACACACCAAGTTTCTCATTTCATTTGCGACAACAATGTTTATTTCTTCTGAGTTTATGCCTTATCTTACTGGACTAGTCAGTCAGCATTTGAACCCCTAAATGCTGCCATAATTTATGCGCAACCTAATCACTTCATCCGAATCGAATGTTATCCATAAAATTTCCCTCTCCAAACTTCAGAAGATACTCACAGCATCATGCCAGCAGCTGACATATATGATGATGCAGAGCCTGAGGCAAAGGAACTTGCAGCAGCCACTTGAATACCCAATGACGCTGCCTGGAGCAACCAAGGATGAAAGTAAAAGTCAGATGGTATGTAAATCATCACGAAGGTCAAAATGATTCAATTATCAGTTCAGTAATTTGTATCGCCTGGTTATTTGAGGCTAGCTGTAATCACTCCGAAAGCACAAAGAGTCACGAGTCTCACTATGGACAACCACTAACAGATATGCACCTTGAGCCAATGCAACCAAAGGAAAAGACATGAAATATGGTTTTGGATCCGGAAATAACTACTTATGGAATTGCAGCGTCTCACTTTTACTAAGCATCCAATGGTCCACCACACATATAATGACCTCCAATATCACAGTAGGGACACTTTTCAAAGGGTGAGAAACGTTAAATACGGCAAGTGCAGTCTTCCCAAGGGTTCTGTGAAACTCACCATTCCCATAAAACTCCCAAGAAGCAGCACCTTCCTTCCTAACTTATCCATCAGGATCATTGCTATGACTGACCCTGATTAATTTACGAGCAGCATGAGGACATATGTCAAGATCCAATTTAAGATTTCACAAAAGGGAAGCATAGAAGTGTACCTGACAAATTACATATTCCTACACAAATGTTTGCAA